TGACAGTTTCATTCCCCGGTGGAACGAGCAGTACACTTGGGAGGTTTTTGATCCCTGTACCGTCATTACAATTGGCGTTTTCGACAACTGCCATTTGCAGGGTGGGGAGAAGGCTGGAGGATCGAAAGATGCACGAATAGGGAAGGTAAGAATTCGCCTCTCCACGCTTGAAACCGACCGAGTATATACTCATTCATATCCTCTGCTGGTTCTGCATTCGAGTGGGGTGAAGAAGATGGGCGAAATTCATCTGGCCGTGAGGTTTACATGCTCGTCTTTGTTAAACATGCTGCATATGTATTCACATCCCCTCCTTCCCAAAATGCACTATATTCATCCGTTAACAGTGAGCCAGCTCGATAGTCTTCGGCACCAGGCGACTCAGATCGTGTCGATGAGGCTGAGCCGTGCAGAGCCACCTTTACGAAAAGAGGTTGTCGAGTATATGCTCGACGTAGGCTCCCACATGTGGAGCATGAGAAGAAGCAAGGCGAATTTCTTCAGAATCATGGGAGTTTTCAGTGGACTGATTGCTGTTGGGAAGTGGTTTGATCAGATTTGCAATTGGAGAAACCCAATTACCACTGTTCTTATACACATCTTGTTCATCATCCTTGTCATGTACCCTGAACTCATTCTCCCCACAATTTTCCTCTACCTGTTCCTAATAGGAGTTTGGCACTATAGATGGAGGCCAAGGCACCCTCCTCACATGGACACTCGCCTCTCCCACGCGGACTCCTGTTACCCCGACGAACTGGACGAGGAGTTTGACACCTTCCCTACGTCTCGCCCTGCCGATGTTGTGAGAATGAGGTACGATCGGCTGAGGAGCATCGCAGGGAGGATCCAGACCGTAGTCGGGGACCTAGCAACGCAGGGGGAACGGTTTCAATCTCTACTCAGTTGGCGCGACCCAAGAGCGTCAGCATTGTTTGTGATCTTCTGCCTGGTTGCTGCCATAGTTCTGTATGTTACACCATTCCAAGTCGTGGCGCTTCTTTCAGGGATTTACGTGCTGAGACATCCGAGGTTTCGGTACAAGCTGCCGTCGGTGCCGCTCAACTTCTTCCGGAGGCTGCCAGCCAGAACGGACTGTATGCTATGATGGGATGGGATGGGATTTTGTTTGTTGTTGCTGTATTGGTAAGAAGAAGAAGAAGAAGAAGAAGATGAAGAAGATGAAGGTTTTGTTTTGTGTAATATGAATGATGGGGGCATTTTTTGGGCATTCAAGAGTTAAAATGTGTATGATGATGATGATGGCCTTGGCAGTTTCTATTTATGGATTTGTATTATGTTAAGTATCTTTTCAATACAATTTCAAGTGTTTCTCAACTCTTCTTCTTTTTCTTCAACTTTTCCATTTTGTACATAATGAATGACAAAAACCCATTCATTTTTAAGTTAAGTTTCAATGATACCATTTATAACGGTCCAAGCCTAAGCTCACTTCTAGTCGATATTTTCCTGTTTAAGCTTTTTCTTTCGGACTTCCCCTCAAGCTCGTGTCTACTAAGAAAAAGTTCTATGTTTTGTTCTCCTGATACCATTTATAACGGTCCAAGCCTAAGTTCACTTCTAGTCGATATTGTCCTGTTTAAGCTTTTTCTTTCAGGCTTCCCCTCAAGCTCGTGTCTACTAAGGAAAAGTTCTCGCACTCTTGTAAAAGTGTATGTTTTGTTCTCCCCAACCAATGTAGGATATTACAATATTAGTATGATATCGTCTACTTTGAGTATAAGTAGAGAGATTTATTTTTATTTTTATTTCAGCCAAAATCTGCGCTGTCAATTGCTAAAAAGCAAAGCTAGGTTCCTCATTATTTTAGTGAAAAGGACAAACCTTCCCAATGCATTCTCAGCCTATGCATTTGGACGCTTCCACCTTACCTACCCAATTTATTATTTATTATTCTACCCACATTTTTTATTACACAAAATAAATAAATAATAATATAATTCTCTTATTAGAAAATTACAATTAACTTTTTAAAACACCTTTTAATTTTTTAATTATTTAAAAAATATCTTTATTATTAATATTACGTTTAAAAAATATCTATTAATTTTTAAAAATCGCATTAGATTTTATCATTAATATACGAAAAAACACATCAATCTACACCTCTATTATATACTAATGATAAAAATATTATATCACACGGCATAACAAGCATATAATTGTGATATTAAATCAACCGTCATGTTACAATCAATGACATAACTAAAACTCATCGATTTCAATGCTACAAAACATTGAAGGCTAAAAGTCAATCACAGTAAATGTCATTTAAAATATTTTTTTATTCTCTTATGCATGAACGGTGATAGGACACCGACAGTTGGACTATGGAACATGTCAAGCGTACATCATAAGCTAGTCTACAAGTTCTGTAATGTAGAACTCTGATAACAATTGTAACAACTCTAAATTTCTACGTAGTTAAAGTTGCTACTGTATACATATCATAGGAATTTTATGCGTAAATACTTCATTCAAAACTTTATCATAAAAAGATAATCCTGGTCTTACATGTTTTGTAGAAGACCTTTGAATAAAATAATAAAAATTGAAAATACTATAAAGTAAAAATGACATACTTATTAAATGGAAATGCAAACTAACCTATACTAATGGATGCGGCGGTGAGGCGTTACAAGTGGTTGATGTGGTGGTCTCGGGTAGTGGGTGTTGGGTTGCAGACGTGGGTATTGGGTATTCGATTTACAGATTTGGGCCTCAAGTATAGGCTTGGGACGAATGGATAATTGGGTTGTAGGTCTAGTTATTCGATTCAGATCTAATCCAAGATCCGCGAACTTCGTCTTCTTTACCCGAATTTGCTCACGAAAATTTGAAGTCTTTCTCTCTCTTCCAAACGATGTATGTTTCCATTCTCTGTGGTCCCTCTGTATAGATCTATCTTTTTCCCCTTCCCTACGACTTTTGTCCTCTTGTTTCCACAGCGTTCGTAAGACTTGTAAAACCAATTCCGACGTTACTTTTCTTTTTATCCCATAACATCATGCTCTGTCGACGACTAAGAAAATTCTATAGATACTACAAGTGTAAACATCTTACCTTGAGTACGCTTCAGAGTCACTAACATCTCGTGTTTTCTCGTCATGTGTTAGATCCATTTCTTCCCTTTTCATCGAAGATGTATCTCTGCAGAGGCTTTGGAATCGGGAGGAGCATGATTTAATTGGGACACAAGAATTTCGACATTGCGTTTTAATCCAACCATCTAGTTATTTGTTAGTAATTTTTTTAACAAATAAACAAATACATACGGCTTTTAACATGTGTGAAATAACTTTATTAGTGGTATTTTATAAATGTTACTAACCACGATCTTCACACGATGGTGTGATATATATATATATATATATATATTTATTGGATGATAAAGCTTAATCAAAATTAAAATTGACCAAATTAAAAAAATAATTAGCATTACATTTGGTACAAACTACCAAATTTGTTGTTTTAAGTTACAAAATTAAAAGTTTTTTTTTTTTTTTTTCATGCAAAAGTTATACATGGACACGTGAAGTTCTTGGAAAAGAAAAAGAAAAAGAAAAAGAAAAAGAAAAAATAAAAAGAATCTTATTTATTATTTTTGTTAATAAAAAATAATATATTAATAAAAATATTATTACTCCCGATAAAATAGTTAATACTTTATTTGAAAAATATTCATTAATACCTTTCAACTTAAAAAAAAAGTTCAAAATTATCCTTATTGTCAGTACTATGTTTAAGAAATACTCATGAAATTTAAAAAACAGTATTAACACTCTTTATTTTTATAAAAATAAACTTTAAAAAAGTCTTACCGTCGATATATAGACGAGAACGTCCATCGACACTTTATAGATTATCTTTAAACTTTTTAATATTATTTAAAAAAAAAAATTAAAAAGTGTAAATTGTATTAATGAAACTTTTAAAAACTCAATTTTATTTTTTAAATCTTTTGAAGGTTGAATGGTAATTTTTACACGAGTTATAAACGGTAATGATATTTTTAAATTTTGTTTTAGTTTAAACATATTTTTTAGATTTTTTTTTAAGCGGGGTATTATTGAAACTATTCAAAAGTTTAATATATATTTTTAAACTTTTTTTTTTTTTTTAATTAATTTAGGCATTTAAAAACCATAAATAAATTGGGGCATAATAGTTGGGCTTAGGAATAAGCTGAGAATGGTCATAATCGTGGACCACTTTGGGCTTGGGCCCAAAATATTATGACCATTATGACCCAACTTAAAAAGTAAATTCGATTATTTATTTATTTATTTTTTTAAGAATATGAAAAAAAATTACAATTTGATGTAATATTAATCTAGGTTGGAATTGGACATTGCAAAGATAATCATTTATATTGGGAGTTCGAAAGGAAAGAAGACGAAAACAGAGTGAAATAAAGGAGTAAAGCTGCTTTACCGAGTTTTCAAAGGCTCTAGAACGAAAAGACTTTATAGAATAATCCATTGTCTTGGATCAGAGATGCCAACGGAGCGGGAATCAAAATGTACCATCAGTCATATGATGAACATGGACAAAAAGAAGGTGCTCCAGACATATTTGCATGATTTGAGTTGCTAAAAAAACTCGAGGACTTTAAAAATTTGATCAAATCAGCATAATTCATACGGTTTGGGTTCATGGTCCACTAAAACTAGATTGAGTTGAATAGAACGGACACAAATTATACATACAAATATTTAGTTAATATCATAAATATTATTTATTCTCCCCCATAATTTTTTAAAATATATATTAAAATTAAGTTACAAATTTTAACAAAATATTTAAAAATAAATAAATATAATATTTTACTTTCATACAAAATAAAAATTTGAATAAAAAATTATGAAAAATTGTATACATTTTTCTAATTAACCCTTCAATTCACCTTATATATTTTTGGCCACTTTTCAGAATAGCCCTTTAAAAATACGGGAATTTCACAAAAGTCCCTATTCATTTTCCATTTCCGCAGTCTGTTCTGTTCTGTTCTGGTCTGCTTGGTATTCCAATGGAAGGCGACGAAGAGGAACTGCTCCTATGGAAGTCGGATTCATCACCTCAATCCATGGTCTCAGTCACCGTCGGCAGAGTTATGGCCACCTTACTCGCGGCTCGCCCAAAGAAGCTCCACGACGCCGTTTTCGGTCTCTCACCCAACCACCGCCATGGAGCTTCACTAGGTTCTTCTCTCATTTCACTCGCGAATTGTATTCCTCTTCATTTGTTTCATTTTCAGTATACTTTAATGTATTGCACCGGTTCTGCAGATTCTCTGGACCAATCTCTCTGGTTTCTGCATAAGTATGTCAGGGACGCTGTTCAAAACCATGCTTCTTTAGATGAAATCCTCGTTGCAATGATTGAACATGTAATCTCATTCATCTTTTTTTTTTTTCTATGTTTGTAAATAAAATATGCGAGTCAGTCTGTAAAAATTTTAAGCATAATCGTGCAGACGTTGAGATTCAAGGATAAGAACTGGAAGCGAGGGGGCCAAGTTATGGTGCTTCTTAACTGGCTGTTCCTTGACGAGCTTACTTTTCAATCGCTTATAAAAAATCTTGCTGATATTATTGTGAGAAAGGATGATCGCTATGTCGCCCTTGGCTGGTGTATCCTTGTTCGCAGTCTTGTAGAGTTCGAGTCTGTCCCTAGTGAACTTTCATTGAATGGTACGCATTAAAATTTCTATTTGTATTCATAAACTAACACGCTGTTAATAATGTCCTCTGTTTCTGGTATCGTCTTCATTTTTGTTGTTATTTATTTTCTTTTTGGGTAGGGTTAAGGGAGAGATTCAAGGATATGTTGAAGGTATTCTCTTCGTGCATTCCACGTCTGACACATATTTTAAGTAAAGGAAGGTAAATTCCTTCTCATAATCTTACCAAGGCTGTCAGCCCCTGCTTTTCATGTTTATTTGTCCATTTTGGTTTTATATTTTTGGATGTCGCATAAACAGGCTGATGCTGCAATGCATACCATATTTTGTCATTAATATGTTATCATACTATTTTTCAAGACAAATCATCCCTTTACTTCTCGATGTGGAAGTGGGTTATCTACTTTTGTTTGCATTCTCACAAATCATCCCATATTTGTTTTTACATCTCACATATGATTTGATTTTGCAGTATTCTACAGGAAGGGTTTGAGTTACCTTCTCGCCTTTCGGTTTGTGCTGCCGATTGTGTAGTATCCCTTACGAATGCACTGACAAGAAAGCCTGAGGCTCAAACTAGGCAGAAAAGATTAAATGCAAGTTCATCATATCAGCAAGTTACTTTCTTTTCAAATGCTGTTGATGACCAGCGAGAGAAACCAATTAGTAGTTCTTCAAAAGACTCAAACTTGGACATGGAATATTTACTCTGGGATCAATTGAAGGATCTCGTGATTTTAGTACAGAGGCTTCTTGCAGTATGTTTCTGTTTGCATGTTCTCTTTTTGTGTTTTGCATGGTACGATTTTAATTTATGACATGTTAGTTGGAACACATGCTTGCTATTTTAATTCCTGTTAGCGATGGCTCTTCTGCAGAAAAAAACTAAAAAACATATGCAAAAATTATGCATGCCCTGACAAGTGCATTTACACTTAACATGTGTTTTCTTATACTTTTTTTTGGCCAAAATGTAGTATATTTCAATTTCTTTTGGTGTCTAGTTTAATGTGGTTGGGAACTCTAGCATGAATAATTTGGTACCTAACACTAACAGTGGACGTTGACTCCAGAGGTGAGTTGATTTAATTGTACTGATATACTTCCTTTGCACTCTAGTGGAGCATGAAAAGTCGGGCATTGCATGCAAAAGGTTTAGAGCAAGTGCTTAAATGGTTGCAAGAGATAAATGTGCATTATGGTAGCTTCCGAAATGAGGCAGGTCCTACACCCAGTAAATTATTCACAGCATATCTTATTTGATCACTTAATGCTCTATTTTAAATCATTTTTTTGGTTTGCCATAGGGAAGGAAAAAGCAAAGATTTCCCAAACTGGAGCATTGCTACTTTCTTCTTGTTGGAGGCACTACAGCATTTTATTATTTTTGGATGATTGCCGATTTTCTCAGCATTACGAAGAATGGTTGAACCAGTACTTGTCAGGCATTCAGGTTGAGTATTCTAAATCTAGTTTTGATGATTTACGTTAAGATACTTTTAAGATTTTAATTTTAGGTAGTGCAGTTTGTTTGTAGTTCAAAAATTGGATTTCCATCCTGGGGTTACTTTATTTTGTATGTTTGCCTCAAGTGTTTTTCCTTTCTTGTCTGCTTGGTTTTGTATGTAAATATCATGTAAATCTGTGAATTTTTTCTTTTACTTGGAGAAGAAATGTAAAAGTTTATTTCTTCATGGATCAGAGTTCATCTGATATTTCTTAGTCTTGTCCTGATGGTTGATGGTTCCTCATTTCTACCACTGTTATTGGTAGTAACTTACACTATGGTGTATATCCCCTTCTGTAATTTTCTTCACAATGTTAGATAGAACATGGTGTAAGTGAATCCTATAACAATTGAGCCAATCAAGTCCAAGGTATTAGATAAATTTGAAATTAAAAGCACAGAACCAGGCATCAATTACCCAAATAAAGTATACTTAGTTATGTTTATGATCTAACTATTACGGGTTCAGGGTTGGTACCTTTGTTTGAAATTCTACCCTTTGCTACCTCTGTTGAAATGTCTGATTCGTTGTTCTTGGAGATTATGAGCAGTTGTAGGTAAGCCTTCAGACATTATAGCATACTAAATAATGGGGCAGTGATGCATCTGTTCTACCCTCTTGAGATGTTAATTTGACTATTACTGCTTACTTGTGACATGAGGCTGTTCTAAGAGCATCAAAGATTATAGCATTTATTGAATTTGAATTCTGGCCTTCTGAATTTTATGTGTAATTTTCTTTCTCAGTATTATTCAGGGCACAACACTGGGGAAAGTATCGAAAATAAGGATGGTAGAGAGACCATTATTTTTTTCCTGAATTGTTTATGCCTTCTATTGGGACGGCTTGACAGCAAAAAATTTGAAAGCACAGTATCAGAATATGGATCTCAGATTTCTCAGGTTCTGCTATTGCAGGTAGTTATGCATTTAAACATTTTAATCTGCAATTATAATATCTGAAGAAGACTGACATAGAGACTTTCAACTTTCAATTAAATGCATGCTCAACTGTCAACTCTTTCAAAGAAAGTTCTATAGTATTCTAGCGCCTTGTATAAGCTGCTGTAATTGTACATTTAGTTTGTAACTAGCGTGGATTAAAATATTGGCAATCGCAAAAACTCACCTATTGACAATGACATGAAAATTCTCCTTTCATATTACGATATTATCACCGATATTTTAAAAATATCGATGATATATCAAACTTTGGCCACATCTTGCTTATAATTTTGATATCTACTTAATGACCCATAGGCATGTTCAGCTTCTTGACCGCACCATTAAAAAGTTAAAAGAGTTAATTGTTAGAGCTTTTATTTCCATAATCAGCTATAAGAAATTAATGACATTACAATCAATTAGAGATCAACCATAAAAACATTTAAAGAACAATAAACAGTTCCAAAAGCCTTGTCGTCCAAAATCCAAAAGAACACAATGAGAGCTTGCAAACCAATGTTGAAACAAAGAAGGAAGGCTTCGCAAACCACTAATAATTAAAGACATCGACAAAGGGCTGACTTCTTGCAAAACCAATATCCTCTCATTGGTTTGTAAATTTTATACTGATGATAGTCCTGGAACCCCAACATAAAATTACCAAATTATCATAGATTCACATGCTGACTATGCCATGGTGTAGAAGACAACCAAAAATTTCCAAATTGATCTGTGATATATGCACATATAATCCATCGTGCCATCAACTTCTCTTGCTTGCCTCTGCCAAACGTCAATTTGTCTACTTTCTCAAACGGCTCATCATTCAAATATTCTCGTGTTGTGTTGAGTGATCAAATACAAAAGTTAGTCAACCACTAATAATAACTAATAAACCAAGCAGAATACATAAGATTGGTAGGATCATTTTTTATTGCTGTCTTTCATCTGCATTCAAGACATTTACCACAGAATCAACCGGAATGATTTCTGCCAACAGCTAAGTTACATCAATTATCCAAAAAACATGGAGACCTTCAACTGAAGCTTTTGAAAACTTTTTTCTTTTAGAATCATTAGAGAAATTTCATGCATCTTAAGGTCAAAAGCTTCAATGAGAGAAGCTAATTTGTTAGCTTTGAGGAGGGAGGAGGATGAGGAATTTGTTTGTCACATTCTTGAAATATAAGACTTCAAAATCAATATCATCAATGTTATTTTCCATAGGCTGTGAGATTGATTCCATACTTCTGAAATCAGAATCTTTGTTAGAATGTAAAGGAGATTAAGAAGGTGAGATGTCTTTTTGTCGAATGAATGTCTCCTTTAGTGAAGAAAAACTTTGGATTTGCTGAAGATAATTTTTAGCTGGTTGGAAGATGTAGACAAAAAATTCCTTGCTTTTAGTTGAAACCTTTAATGAGGAGTCAAGATCTGAAGTACTTATTGCAAAGTCTAAATTATCTTGCTATTGTTCATATTAATTTTAGAGAGGTATATATCTTTTATAATAACGGCTAACTAAATCCCTAGATACTAGGTAACAATAAATTTAAATAAATCTCTAGATCCTAGGTAACAATACAGATAAATCAGGGGAGTCAACTACTTCCCTTATTTAATGAGATTACACAATTATCTCTTAACTTAATGGCTAGAAATTACTCAAATATTTCTTAAATCGAGGTCATTCCTTCAACACTCCTTTTGAAGTTGAGGAATAAACATCCTGGATGCTAACTCACGAGACATTAAGCTATAAAGTCCTTTTGTTAGAATATCGACTGGTTGGAGTTGTGAGGACACAACTAATACATACTACCCCTTCTTTAGTTTCTCCTTGATATTAAGCTTTGTCCTATCATAGTGGATAAGATTATGTGCTATATTGATAGTTGATTTGTTGTCACGGTACAACTTTACTGAACCTTCTCCCTTAATCGGTAAGTCATCAAAGATTATTTTCAACCATAAGAGTTGACGTAGCCCTTGTGCAGTAGCTCAAAATTTTGATTCAGTTGATTACCTAACCAATGCATTTTACTTTTTAGTCCCCCATGTTACCAAATTACCTCCTAGAAAAGTACAATATCACGTAGTAGATTTTTTGTCCACTACTGATCGAGCATATTAAGCGTCAGTGTAAGCTTCTAATGCAAGGGAATTATTCTGTTTGGACAAAATTCCTTTTCCGGACGTTCCTTTCAGGTAACGTAACACTCTATATGCTGCCTCAAGATGAGTTTCTCGCAGATCATGCATCAACACTCACTGAATATGTTATGTTTGATCGAGTGTGAGCCAGATACATAAGCTTCTCCACTAACCTCTAGTACATTTCTCTGTTCACCACTAGTTATGCTTTTGACTCTCCCAATTTCTAATGTGGATCCATTGACGTGGGTGCAGGTTTACATATGTTTTTCTCTGTTTCCATCACATATTTCTGTTTGAGTATGCGACTTCAATACCAAGAAAGTACTTTAGCCTTCCAAGTTTTTTGATCTCAAATTCTTTCATCAATTTCCTATAAGTTCATTTATTTCTTCATCTTATCTCCGATGGCTAATGTTATCTACATACACTAGAAGCATTGTTACTTCCCTTGATTTTGAGTGCTTGATAAAGAGTGTGATCTCCTCGACCCCACTTATGTCCAGTCTTTCATTATCTCTCTGAATCTTGCAAACCACGCCCTTGGTGATTGTTTTAATCCATATTGGACCTTTCTCAATTTGCATACTTTCCCTCTTGAACTTTCAAATTCTATAGGAATGCTCTTGTAGATTTCCTCGTCTAGAAGGAATGCATTTTTAACATCATACTGTAGAGCTGCCCATTTAAGTTGGTAGCCAAGGATAACAATATTCTTATGGTGTTCATCTTTGCAATTGAGGCGAATGTCTCAGGGTAATCTATGCCGTAAGTTTGATTGTATCCCTTAGCTACTAATCTTACCTTGTACCTTTTCAACATTCCATTAGCCTTGTAGTTTACCGTGAAAAGCTACCTGCACCCAACTATATATTTTTCCTTTGATCTATCCTCAACTTTCCACATTCTATTCTTTTCTAAAGTATGCATTTCTTCACTCATAGCATCTTGCCATTCTCTTTTAAATAAACTTTCAATAGCTGTGCTAAGTGTAACCATTGAATTTAGAGTCGGAATGAAATTTTTGTGTCTGTCATCTATTGGTTCATTTGGAGTTCCATCTTGTTCTTGTGTTGCATCTTTATTTTGAGTCAAGTCAAATGTTTGGACTTGTATCGGTTCTAAAATGACTTTCCTCCTAAAAGTCTGTCCTGAATTGTAATGATGGCTGGAATAAAACAACAAACATTCCTTTTAACTTCAATTTTAACTGATCTTCAATCGAATAGTTAGAGTAGAAATACTACTAATAAGACCAGCGAAGTGACAACCAAGTGCTTCAAAGCAACCACGCGTCCAGAAATGTAGAGGTAAGTTCAAGATTGTAATCCATCCTCTATTACCTGTAATAAACTTTGTATACTGTGCTTTTCAATCGCCCCATTGTTCAATTTTAACATGAAAAGCACCAAATTTCTTCCCTTTTCCAATGTCTCCGAAAAATCTTCCATCTTCCATCTGAAGCACACTTTATCATCCATCAAATGATAGAAAGAAAACATTACTTCAAATGATTTTTCTAATTCCATCTTTCCAATTATCATGAATGTTCATTCTTGTAATGACCATTGTTGAACTCCGATCTATTTCCACAACTTCCTTTTCCTTTTTGAGCCAATAACCTTAAGATGAGTGCGATTGTAGAAATGATGAAATCTTGAAATCTGGAGCGGCAGAATCAGGGAGAGTTTTTCCTTGAACCATTTCAGCATAAGGAATATCATCCTGATATTTTCTGAATTTCCTTCCATTTGAGCAGCTAAAGGAAGCTTCTCGCATCATTTCCCAAAAAACCAATCAACCTCTATATTATTAGCAGCTGGAACCTAGACAACTGATCTTTTACTAGAGGGCTTTATAGCTATACATTCAAGAAATCACCCAAATTGACTCATCCTATTTACTGATAGGCAGATCCAACTCTCCCTTTGCATGTCTTAAACTATGAGTTTTCAATGGATATTACATAATGTCAACAAAAGTTTCTTCAAACCAAAAAAGTTGCATACGATAAACAGAAAGGGAGTAAAGGCGAGAACCATCTTTTTGTTCAATCTTGAAAAACTCCGTTCCTAGAAGATTTTTGAAGAAAAACTTCTTACCCACCCAACAACAACTTGGCCTCTCATATTCAGGCTGAAAAGTAAGCAAAATTGAACTTCTGACGGAAATAAAATCCCAAAAACATTTCCGGAAGTTAGAATCCAGAACTTAAAAGGAATAATCTATGAAGAAGAAACTGAAATGGAGGAAGTGGTTCTTGGAGTATTCTCCCCTTGAGGCTACTTAGGCTACACCATTAATAATAATCCATTGGATCTTAACTTCTTATTTACAGTGTAGTCAGCAAGGATTGTGTCAGGAAGTCATAAATATAACAGGGTGCTCACTTGGTATTGAATTTTTTAAATAGGGACCATCCTGTCTTTCTACTCGTAACTGTTTTTTTTTTTTTTTTTTAAATGAAAAGTTAAAAAAGAGTTTTCATTGGAAAATGTGAAAGAGTACAGAGGGACATAGAAAAAACAGTCCCCTCAACCAAGGGGCATACAAGAAAACGAGGCCAAACAAGGAGACATACAAAACAACCATACAAATAAGAGCTCCCATCTAAGATAGGCCTAAAGGATGGCTCAAGAAATTATTTTACTGGTTTCCACTCTGGAAATTGCATAAGAGACACCAATTAGGAGATCGTGTGATGTTAGGATTTCATTTTTGTATGATATTGGAAGTGTTAGTCTTCCATAGCACACGGAACAAATGAAAAAGTATCTTCTTTGGTTTCTTGAGTTTCTAGACTAGAAGTTACCAATTGCTTCGTTATGATGCATAGATCGTATACTTATTACTTTGCTTCAGTTCTTCTAGAGTAAGAAACAAGTTTTTTAATTGATGAAATGAAAAGAGACTATTGCTTAAAAGATAAAACTCCACAAAGCAAAAAAAAAAAAAAAAAAAAAAAAAAAAAAAAAAAAGAAAGANTTATTTTACTTTAATATTGTGTTTATACTTTCTTGCTTACGTTTTTTCTTTATGTGTTGTGTTTTTTAGTTCCATAGTACAGATGAAGATGTTATTACCGAGGTTGTTAGCATATTTAAGGCGGTTTTTCTCAATCCAAAACTTTCTTCTAGAGACAGCATCACTGACATTAGGCAACTGGATGTTGTGATGCCATCATTACTTAACCTTCTAGATGAGCGAGATGTCACAGCTAGAGCTGTCATCATTCTCATTGCTGAATCTTGTTTAATGTAATCTCTCTCTCTCTCTCTCTCTCTCTCTCTCTCTCTCTCTATGATTAAGGAGTTCATTATCTATTTTGGTTTCACTTTGACTTGCTGGGGTTTGTCAGGAGCAGAGATAATGATCAGTTCCTTTTGGAAGTCTTCAAGCGATTTGATTCTGATAGTATCATTCAGAGAAGGAATGCTATTGATGTGATATCTGAAATTGTTCAGATGTCATCAAATAAAAGAAATTTACTTGCTCAGTCAGCATGGTAATATGCACAAGCTTTGCCTTAATTTTCATTTTTCCTAGATTAGATATTTAGTGCTGTAATAACTTCTTCTGTCGTTCATTACTGCAGGCAAGATATAGCTAAGCAATTAATCAAGTGTCTGGAAGATGAAGAAATTCTGATTCGTAAACAGGCTGCTGATTTGCTTCCTTGCATTGGTTAGTTTTGATGTTTGCTGTAACGCCATTAATTTTTCTTAACCTAATTAGTGATGTTACCTTGCATTCATAGGACATAATTTGGAAGCTCATATAAAATAACTTTGAAAATAATGGCATGGTCTTACATAAATAGAAAAATTAAATGCAAACGTTTACTATTCAAGATAAAATTCAAACAAAACATCTACTAAAGTCCATTCCAACTTCCATGGTCTTCACAACATCCACCATCAACCGTGCATGGGAGCCTTGCCTTTACCTGAAAAATAGGGTAGCATGTGGCTTGAGTATTTTATGAAATACTCAACAAGTCACCCCACTGTTGGGGTTAGGTATACAATACACATACAAAACACATGCAAAATACATGTAAAACGTGTAAAACAGGAGTGGGACTTGTCTTTCATTTACCTTACATGGCCTTAGGCTTCTTTCTTATCCGGGCAGAGTGGATGTGTAGTACTTCTCCATACACTGCCCACGTACGCATTCATGGGCCTACTATTAGGATCGCACAACAACACATTCACTCGATCAAGATGAACACAAAGAAAAGGAGAGAGAAAATTCAAGGAGGAATATGGCTAAAGGTTTTATTGATGATTTCATGTATCTACAACAATAGAGCAGAGAATGAAGAAAGTACATTTTGAAAGCACTGTCTAATGGGGTATATATATAGTTGAGAAAATTCAAGGAGGAATATTTGCTAAAGGTTTTATTGATGATTTCAGATATGTACAACAATAGAGCAGAGAAGGAAGAAAGTACATTTTGAAAGCACTATCTAATGGGGTATATATATAGTTGAGAAAATTCAAGGAGGAATATTTGCTAAAGGTTTTATTGATGATTTCAGGTATGTACAACAATAGAGCAGAGGATGAAGAAAGTACATTTTGAAAGCACTAGGGTATATATATGGTTTCCATTTACTAAATATAGGTTTAACAGATTTAACCACCTACGAGATGTAATCTACCAAATATATCTCTACCAAATCTTTACGAAATATCTACCATATACATCTCTACCGGATTTTTACAAAATATCTACCCTATACATCTTTATCAGATCTTTAGTATAAATAGGCATCAAGCTCCATATCTCAACAATCTCCCATTTGGAGATGGATCTAGTCAACCAAAAATTTCTTCTCAATCCACACCATACCAATTGAGGTTTTGCACAACCACAACTTTCCAACATTAACACATTTCGTCAACATGTTTGCTGATATACTAATTGAGGTTTTGCACAACCTCAGCTTTCCAACATTAACACATTTCGTCAACATGTTTGCTGGATTCTTTACATCCTTTATCTTCTCCAAACACACCACCATCTTCCACTAAACTTTGAGTGAAATGGTATCACCTTTTGTGTTCTGTCTTTGAATGATAAACCGGGTTCCTCACCAACTGCATGACACTCTAATTATCTACTTAAAGAATCTTCTCGCGTTGCTTCTTGCCTAATTCTTCTAGATAGTCTGTCATCCATATCATCTTCTTTCCAGCTTTAGCTATTGTCACATACTTAGCCTCAGTAGATGAAAGAGCAACGCATTTCTGAAGCTTAGACATCCCATCATCCATGGCTTGCTCCCACTTGGTTGTATCCTCTAACTGTTGGATCTCATTAAAAGGCTATGGTTCCCCTTCATCAGTCAACAACCGATAGTGTGATGAAGGTGAATACCTATTTGGTACTCTGTTAGTCCTTGATGATCTTCTCAACACCTGCTCAGGTGTCACTTGCTCCGCTTCTGGTTCCTCAACAACAGTCTCAGAAGTTTCTTGAGTATCTGCAACATCATCACCCTGTGAATTGTTCTGCAACTCAACCTCAACTCCCACTTGCTTAGTTGTCTCGGAACCTTTCTTCAATTCTCTAACAGTCTTTGTGAAGCTAACTTGTTTTTGTTTGCTCATAACACAGTTCTCACAAGGACCCATCAACAGTTTTCAGACTTTCCAAAACTCCTTTCGCAGCCAACATCTTCATTTCTTTAACGCTCGTATGTCCAAGTCTATTGTGTCATAGACTTGAATTGGAAGCACTCTCAACAACAATAACTATGTTTATACACCTTGCAGTGGTGTATAGGGTTCTAGATTTTGTGCCACGAGCTACCACCATAACACCCTTCACAAACTCTGTTGCATAACCTGTGCTATCCAACTGATCAATAGATATCAGGTACTTCTTGAGACCAGAAATGTATCTGACATCCTTTAATGTCCATTGATTTCCTGCCGGAGTTTTTATGCAGACATTCCCTTTTCCTTCAATTTCCAAATCTTTGTTGTCAGCAAGATACACCTCGAAATTTTCAGACTTGAATTCTGAAACAACTTTTTATTTGGAGACAAATGAAAAGATGCACCTGAATTCAAAATCCAGGATTCAATCGAACTGTCCACGCTGAGGATTGGAGCATCCCCAATGTCTTCTGTTGAATTTACCGAATCATCATCTTCTTCTAATTTGTGATTTTGCTTCCTCTTTGTATAATCTGCTCGAAAGTGACCTTTTTCTCCACAACTCCAACACTTTGCGTTTGGTTTGTTTGGAGATTTTTCCCGGTTCTTTGATTTTGATCGCGCATTGTTTGAGCCCTTCGATTTGCTTCTTCCCCTTTGGTCAACATTGAGAGCACCACTAGATGAATCTTTAATTTCTCGTTTGCGAATACTTTCGCTGAGAATTACTTCTCAGATTTCATCAAACTTCAGCTTTTCAGATCCTCAAGAGCTGTTGATCACGGCAACAACAGTATCCCACAACTCGAGTAAAGATGACATCAAAATCAATGACTTAATTTCATCTTCGAAATTAATTTCCACCGAACTCTGTTGATTTACAATCATATTGGATTCGTTTATGTGATCAACAATAGATCCATTTTCAGACATTTGTAGATTGAACAATCTCCGCATCAAATACACCGTGTTCATAGCCGACGGTACTTCGTACATATTCGACAACACCTTCAATAGGTCCGATGTCGTCTTCTCCTTGATGATATTGAATGCCACGTTTCTGGATAGTATCAACCGGATCGACCTTAAGGCCCGATGATCCTTGAGCTTCCACTGCTCCGTGGTCATGGTATCCGACTTCACCCCCATCAGGGGTTTGTGAAGATCTTTTTGATACAATCAATCTTCAATTTGCATCTTCCAGAAACTGAAATCGGATCCATCAAACTTTCAAATTCCAATCTTTGCACTTTCCATCTTCATAGATCATGGTGAATCTCGCCTCGCTCTGATACAAGTTGTTAGGATTGCACAACAACGTACACACTCGATCAAGATGAATACAAAGAAAAGGAGAGAGAAAATTCAAGGAGGAATATTGGCTTAAGGTTTTATTGATGACTTCAGGTATGTACAAACAACAGAGAATACATAAAATGAAGAAAGTACATTTTGAAAGCACTGCCTAATGGGGTATATATATGGTTTATGTTTACCAAATATACGTAGTCGAGCCGCAAGGAAAAACGGAGCCAGGTTGACGTTACGTACGTGTGCGGGCCGAGCCGTGTCTGCGCGCATGTGTGAGCCGAAGGACGCAGTTGCTTGTCTTGGGCCGACGCCTACAATCGGGCCGAAATAGAGTCGTCTGGGCTGAGCGATGTGGGCTGGACTGTGATCGCGGGTATATGAAGAAACCCAACCTGAACCGTCAGTTTTCCTTCCTTACTTGAGAACAATTCGAAAACCCTAACTACGATTTCTCCTTTTCGATTTTGACGAGATTGACGCCCTCACGTTCGTTCTTGCTGCCGTTTTGTTTGTCCCTCCTTGCTATGCAACACCACGATGTTAGTTCGCTCTTATCCAAGAAAACTCATTGAAAAATCGAAGCCTTGTTTCGTTTTCCAGTTTCTCACTTCAAACCCTTCTGTCTTTCTCTCACAGGCGCAACCGTGACAATCAATGGAAAAGAATGACTATTTAGATGAGTGGGGGAACTCAAGGAAAATAATACGTATTAATTAAAGAAATGCCTCGTCGGAAATCATGTGATTTCCGACGAGATTTCCTGTGTCATTGAATATTACTTTTTTTTTTTTTTTATGAAACTCGTATGGTTACATTTGCACTATTCTTAATATTAATTTTTGCTTTACCCTTATGAATATGTGCTTTGCTAAGTGAACCATTTTATTATTGGACATTCTCTTAGGAATCCCAGGCAACAATCGTATGGTATTATCCACCTTGAGCATAAGTTCTCATGACTTTATTTTTGGTTTCCCTAAAAGACCTTACACCAATAAAAATGTATTCCTTATGATATGAACCACAACCAAGAAATTTTAACACCTCAAGGTTCAATTACAAGGACGAGAGCCAAGAAGCTACAACAAACCTTGTACACTTATATTCAAGCTAATGTGAGCCCATCAAAGAAAATTCTAGAAGATGTTGGAGACTTCCCTTATATGTTGTGCAAAGTTGAGCTTTAAGAAAGAGATGCATTAAATGCACTTTAAGTTGCATTTAATGAACTCAACTAAATGTTTGGAACTAGTTCAAGGATGACTAATAAGCACATCTCATTCATTGTACTATTTAATTATAATTTAAATATTTGTTTGTCATATTTAAGCTAGTTTTTAATACAGGAGTTAAGATTATATTGTAACTTTTTAGGTTACCATATTCCAGCATTAACTAGCCATTTTAATATGGAGGTTATGGGTATTTCTCATTTACTAGCAAATTTAATTTGGGAGTTATGTGTCACATCGTTTAAGGTTGTAAAGACCATATAAAGCCTTCTTTTCTTTGATTAGAAATTCCTTAGCTCTCAACCAAGCTAAAAGGATAGAAATTCTATTCTTTTTAATTCCAAAATGTGATGTCTCTAATCAAAGAAAAGAAGACTTTATAGAGCCTTTACAACCTTAACCTATGTGACACATAATTCCCAAATTAAATTTGTTAGTAAATGAGAAATACCCATAACCTCCATATTAAAATGGCTAGTTAATGGTGGAATATGGTAACCTAGGTAGGTTACAATATAACCTTAACTCCTGTATTAAAAACTAGCTTAAATATGACAAACAAATATCTAAATTATAATTAAATAGTGCAATGAATGAAATGTGCTTATTAATCATCCTTGGACTAGTTCCATAAATTTAGCTGAGTTCATTAAATGCAACTTAAAGTGCATTTAATGCATCTCTTTCTTGAAGCTCAACTTTGCACAACATATAAGGGAGGTCTCCAACATCTTCTAGAATTTCCTTTGATGAGCTCACATTAGCTTGAATATAAGTGTATAAGGTTTGTTGTAGCTTCTTGGCTCTCGTCCTTGTAATTGGACCTTGAGGTGTGAAAATTCCTTGGATGTGGTTCATATCATCTTACTTATAAATTCATGATTTTCCCCATAATTAGCCAATGTGGGACTCATCCCAACAATTCTCGACAATCCTCCTCTCAAACAAAATACACCATAGAGCCCTCAAACAACCTCCCCTTAATCTCCTTCTTTGGAGCCCTTGAATAAAGTACACCTTTTGTTTCACACTTGAGTCGCTTTTGACTATATTTTCGAGGCTCACAGCTGCTTTGCTCGAAACATGATGATTCTATTGACATGACTAAGTTAAGGGCATGACTTTGATACCATGGTAGGAACCACAAACTTCAATAATGGTATGATATTGTCCACTTTGAGCATAAGCTCTCATGACTTGTTTTTTGTTTCCTCAAAAGACTAGATATCAATGGAGATGTATTCCTTACTTATAAACTCATGATTTTTCCTTAATTAGCTAAATGAGACTCCCCACAATTCTCCATGAATTCCACAAATATCTTCGAACTTGAGACTAATCCTTTGACACTCCCCCACTTAAGCTAAGAATTATTATATCTATTACTAGCTTGGACCGGATAGATTTATGTACAATATTGATCGCACAACTTTGACGACACAACTTCAACGGTAGCTATTGAAGACTATGAATAAACTTGGTCCAGGTGGATTATTGGTAGCCATGAAGTGTAACAACCCGTTTTTCAATGTCTTGAATCACAGATTGCCATGTGTAGACTCCATGGTAAAAAGGGTGGCACAAATTTTCTTTTGTAAAATGGAAGACCGACTTCTTTTCCCCCTCAAATTGATAGGGGTTCGTGTGTATAACTAGGTTCCAAATGGATATATATTACCATGCTACCATGATAGCTAGGTTCCAAATAAATAGACTTACTACCATGCAACCAAATAAATATCTAACTTGATGAACTAGGTTTTTCGTCATGGTTCCAAATGAATATCCAACTTGATTAACTAAGTTTATCACAATGCTTCCTATTGAATTTTGCCCATTATCCACCCCTACAATTATTACTTAAAATAAGCCATGTGTAATGGATGTTGAATTTCCATTTGTTGGGACGTAGGCCATTGAATTTGCATGGTGTTATTTATGTACACTTTAATTTAGCAGGTATACTTTACTTTTTTTTTTCTTTGTTTAATGTGCTCTATTTTTTTTCAAAAAATATTTGTTTAGGAATATAACACTCTATATAGCTGATTAATAAAATCAAGATATTATTTTAGGAAAACCCTGAATCAAAACATATAGAACTACGATGAACCACTATTACTGTAATTTTTGTCGTATAAAATAATGTTCAACTGCTTGGGTTGTGCCTGAATGTTAATACCCTCTGCTGCCTTTGTCATTAATGAGGATCAACATTTTCTGTCATGCAGACCCTTCTTTAGTTTTACCTTCCTTAGTACGTCTTGTCTACTCGTCAAATGATAAAGTTCTAGCTTCAGCCGAGGAGGCTCTCGTTGGGGTGCTCAAGTGTCATAATCAGAACATTGGAGCGATTTTTGTGCTACTTGACTGTGTTAGGTATTTTGCTTAACTACCTCTGTTCCCTCTCCCCAATAAATGAGAAGATGTATAAACTTTTGTTCATTTTTTATCAACTTATTGGTTGTTAAGATCAAACTGGGATTTAAATGGGAGAATAATTTTCTTTATCGAGAATTTTGCATACAGTGGGAAAGAAATCCTGGTTCCATCTTGTTCTGGTCTAACTTTCTTGTCGTTTTTTTTTGTTTGAGAATGATACTAAAATTGACGTTAGTGGGTCTCTCTTTGTATTTGGCACACATAACTAAAAGCAAAGCAAGTATCAGGTTCAGTATGAAATTAGTAAATAAGTTGCCCCTATTGCCTATTTATAATAACAACAAAAATAATAATAATAAGTTGCCTAGCCAACTATTGTTACATTCCCTTGTCTATTGGTTTGCTTTTATCAGGAGGCTTTCCTTGAGATTCCACGGGTGTAGAAGACGGCTTAAGTCCTGTCATTCCATTTTCCCTTGGGTACCTAAGGTGCACATTCCTTGGTATACAATTGAATAATTGTGGGACAGTCTATCCAGCTGAACCGTGGGGGCATTGAAATATGCTGTTGGAAGTGTAGAGATGGACTCCGGTGCTTTCCAAATAAATTTTTATTGAACATCTATTTGCTTGATTTGAAGATTTCAGATTTAGAAAATTATTTTCTTTGAGTAGGTGTTGCGATTACCTTTTCTTTTCTTCCCTTCTTTTTCAATTTATTCTGAGAGGCCTTCCAATTTGCATGTTTTCCATGGATATCCCAATATGTTACCTAGTACCATTTTCTAGAGGGCCTCACATTAGAATCTCTCTTTTACACTAAAGGTTTGAGAGGAATCAATGATCTTCCATTCACTGTATCTAGGCAAGTGTACAAGGGTAAAGTAAAAAAACAATTAGGGAAAATATGTCCTAGGTACTTTTACAATAATACAACAATGATATCTCCCCCTCGAGTTAGGAGAATACGTGTGAGTTATGTCAAACATGTTAGAGGGATAATCTATACGTGCTCTGCTTAATGCTTGACATATCCTTTGGACACCTAATCGTATTGCATTTTATCATGTACAAATTGATAGTCGACCTTAATGTAATTAGTTTGCACATGAAATATTTGATTAGATGCGATATGAAGAGCTCCTTGATTATCACACCACAATTTGGTTGGTGTTAAGATATCAAATCCCAATTCAATAATAAGTTAGATAAATACCCTCTCCTCTCTTCTCTCCTTTCATCCTCTCATCCCTCCTCTAGATTTTTAGTCTCCATTCATGGCTGAAGTCTAGGTCCTTTGTCAGTCTTGCGCAAAGTGCGTCTTGAGTCACTGTGGCCCCATGGAAGGGCCCTAGGGTAATACTCATAAGTTTGGAGGAGCACTTTTTGCTCTAAACGATGACCGTACTACAGACATATCTACCTACTAAGCTCTAATCAATGGATTCTCTCTAGTGGTGTGGGACAACATCTACCTGTTCCTAAGATCAGTAAACTACCTGTTACTTTGCCTTTTCAGGCTAGAACAATAAAACTATTTGTCACTACGCCACTCAGGTTGAAATAGTAAAAGAAACCATGACTCTCCCCACTAGGCACCAATATTTCAATAGTATGCCCTCTATGACTCCCGAATCTTTTGAGGGTAACAACTTAGCCATCAACTTAGCCATGTGTAACAAGTAGACTCTAACCTCTGCTGGTTAGTTCACAAATAGGGGTTGCGCCCTATCCGTCCCTACAAGGTACCTGATCAACTAGAGGAGGCTATGGAACTCATGACTAGGTGTTAGGACAAAAATACGTGAAACAGTAACTCATAGTCCATGGAAACCATAACTAGCACTCTATGACACATAGCGATAGTCCAACTCATAATTGGGCAATAACGGACTATCTAAATCCTAAATCAAGCATACAAAATGTATAAAGGCATACAACATGCTCATCATGCTCATTAAGTGATAATAATCCAACCTCTACATATTGGAAAGCATAAAAGTCTAATGGTTACCATAGTTCACAAATAAAGCGTGCAAAAGCTATATAACTGTAAATGAGACTAAGTTGTAAATGGTTCAGCACAATTATCATAGGACTAAGTCAAACTAGACTCCTAACACAATACTCAATCATTGCCCTCAATCCCAATCGACTCCTACAAGTATTTCTTAGAAACTTGTTCCATATGGTTACTTGCTTAATTGTAGACTTCCCAAGCTTGTTTCGAGTTTTCGAGGATATTCCAAATTTCTTCAAATTCTTCAAAATTCTTCAATAGGCCCTAAATTAAGTTGAAAGAATAAAACTAGTGAAAATGGTTGACTAGCTTCAAATTTGTTAAAAGAGAAGGTTGAGAAACTAACCGTTGACTGTACAGTCATCTTCTCCAATTTGCGTGCATGTCATTCTGCTTTCCTTCATTCTTTTTTATTTTTATTTTTTTATTTTGAAAAAAAATCTTTTATTTATTTTCTTAAAATTCCAGGTGTTACAATCACTGAGTTCAAACTCTATTTTATTTGTCTTCTTTTAACACAACATTTCGATTTTCAATGAGCTATTTCTGCACTTGATCATACAGTCTATTACCAAACTCACCTTTCCCATATCCTATAGCCAAGGAACACGCATGATTTTGTCTTTGTACCGAGCTTTGATCTCTAATCTTTAGGAGGATGAACAAAAGTTTTTCTGCTAAAGACATACAGGTGATTGCAAGACATATCCTTGTTTGACCAAATTCTATTTCAAACTTCGAATCCCAAAGGAGCATACGGTGTGAGATTTTAACTGTGAGTGTGAAAGCAACCATCTCTCTCAAGTCTCAACTAGTGTTCTGTTCATTCCCTCAGCTATCCTCTTTAACTTAGAGATTTTGGAGGTGTCTTATGATGTCAATATCACCATCCCTGCAATACTCATCTAAAGGTCAACAATACTCACCCCCATTTTGAGTCGTATTACACTTTAACTTAAGATTCTCTTTCAACAGGGGCATGAAATTGCTTAAACACTTCCAACACAATCGATCATTAGTCTTCAAGATACAAGCCCAATATGAATGAAGTGCTTTTGTTATCATTGTACCACACACATCATTTGTTTTCTTGAATGTCAAGATGCCTTAAAAGAAACTCTTATTTTCTTTCGTACCAAACAATGCACATATCTTTTAAGAGGTTCATTTTTTGTGGCAGGAAGATAATTTTTTTCTTTTGGCTAGAATCATTAAACCCTTCTTATTAATGTGACTGAGTCTCTTGGTATAGCATCCAAGTATTTGTTTCATCCGCAGGAGAAACTCGAAGATTCACTTCTGAATGATTTTCCAGTATTTTCTTGCATTATTAGCTGATGACCATCATTTGTTTTATAAAGGTCAGGCTGCTGCCAGCAATGAATGAAAAAACTAATGTCGTACTGAGTTATAGGCATGTCTTCCTGTGGAAGATCACTAAATTTTCCTTTCGCTTTGAAAGTTACCATGTATTTTCAAGACTTGAAACTGTCTCTGGTAGGGAAAATAGTTTTTTCATATTTCATTGGTCTTGGAATTGATAATTGATTAACTATGTCTTCACAAAGTTGTTCTCGACTTTCTCGTGTATACAATATGGTTGGGCATGTAGTTTTTGGTTGTCCTAGAGCTTCTCTCATGTAGTTGTCTTTGCTTCGACTGTGCTTATGTAAAATGACAACCTGCGACTGTCGCATAGAATTCTCTCCTCTAACTTTGTGACTTATGATTAGAAACACTACACCATAAACTTACTGTGAGGATTGGTGAACTTCCAGAATTAGAGGATACTTCCTCTCGTTGATTTTGACCCTCAGCAACCATCTTGATTCAGTTGCTTTGTGATCTTATCACAAGCAATAATACCTGAGGGAAAATCTATAGTAGAAAAATTACATTTTTGGTCCATGAGTTCTGAATTTTGTTGTATTCTGGTCCCATTCGTCACCCTATGAAGCACACATATGCTAATATAGGAGAGGAATGAGTGTTGAACACAGATTGGTTTGGACACACTTCAGACAAGTGTCCGACATACGAAATTGTGCCCCTTTTTAATTATTTTTTATTTTTTAACTCTGGACATGCCATAGACATGCGCCAAACTTGGTTTGTGGTAGATGACGACCCAACAACCGGTGAAGCCTACTGATGTGGGAGGAAGATCAAAAGATGGTGGGGAGAGATGGAGGAAAAGGTGAATCAAGGGGGGAGGGTAATTACAGCTGATGTGTGTGTGTGTGTGTGTGGGGG